TATTCGCACGAACAGATTCCATTTGCTGCACGGAGAGAGCATCCCAATCGTATTAATATATATATATATATATATATATATATATATATATATATATTGTTTATTGAGAATTCATATCTGCTTTACTTTGACTAACTGCCATGGATTTACGTTTACCTTAATAAGAAAGAATTTTTTTTAATTAGGATATGACACTTTATCCTTCTTAATAGGTTCATAGCACGTTCTCATTGGAAGTGTATCTACTCTTCACTTGATGAATTTGGCTTCTGCAATGGTGCATATGATGAATTTGAACAACCAAGCCAAACTTCTGTTTGACTTTTGGAGTGGTTTATTGATTGGTTATGCCACAACCCAGAAACATTGCCAAACCAGCAAAATCTAACAGACAGCATTATCCTACCATCAGCAACATTGCTTTAAGATCACAACAATCAGCTAAATCCAAACCTCTCTCTACTATGCCAGCTTGCCAAACCAGCAAGAACTGAAATTGACATGTAATTCAAGTTAAATCATCAACTTCATTCTTTCTCATTCTCATGATTATCCAGGGTTTCTTTTCTCAGTATTGAATTTTTATGCTGGAATCCGGGATTCCCCCTCCCATCATTTTGGATAGGGCTCAGAAGTCATTTCTGGAGTCCTTAGCTATCCTAGAGAAGAAGGATTTGATTGCCAAGGAAAATCGTTGCATTCCATTCATCAAAAAAAAAAAAAAATCGTTGCATTCCGATTAGATGGACAAGCTCGAATTTAGATGAGATCAAGATTAAATTTGACGCCTCATGTGTCAATGGGCTCTGCACTATAGCTTTTGTGGCCAGAGATTACTTGGGCCAAATTCTAGACTTGAAGGCTTACAAAATTGGCTTTACTTCCATTAATCTTGCTGAAGTATGGGCTGCCTGAGAGGCCCATAATATTGTATTCAACTTCAATGATAAATCTATTATTATCGAGGGTGATTCAAACTTGGTTATTGATTGTTTGAAGAACATTGTGGATCCGCCATGGACATTGAAATTGATCATCAAAAGCTGCAGCCTGCAGGTATTTTTTTGAGAGGATGGATTCTAAAGTGGAGTATTGTCACATATATCGCAAAGGCAACATGACTGCTGACTGACTGGTTGGCCCACATGCTACCCCCGTGTTGTGTAACCTCATTTTTTTTATCAAAAAACAGAAAAAAAAGAAAGATGATGTCAAACAAGCAACCAAACAAAAGTATCTTCCAAGTCCTGGTAAACAATTAAAGTTCACTAGTGTATGAAGCAAGGTTTTAAAAACCAAAATGTATACGGAACTATTTTGGCCACCGGTTCCTGGGTCAAATGGTCTGATTGTCTAATTCGAACAAATGACCCATTTTAATTAAAAAATAATTAAAATAAAAAATAACTAAAAATTATTGTTCGAATCAACAAGTCAACGGTTTGACAGCCCAAATCAACAGGTTGCTAACCAAGTTAACGGTTTTTGGCCCAAAAACAATTTTAGGTTGAAACAACCAATTGCCTGACCGGTTCCAGGTCAACCGGTCCAGTTTTCAAAATCATGGTATGAAGGCTTCCTCCCGACATAAAAGGGCGGTGCAGTTGAAAAGCATTTTTAACTGCACCGCCCTTTTCATCAGAGCTGTGACATCCATAGCTTCTGCACGTCTTTAATTGATTCCAACCAATTAGCATGAACATGCACAACAAAGGGATCTTGTCTTTTAGGTTCCTCTTTTTCCCTCTTCAAGTAGGACAAAAGATGGGAGAAATGTTTCCTATTAGCTAATTAGGATCGATGAATGAATATTATATTTCTCATTTTTTAATTGTGAAAATAGTTTTAAATTCTATGTTAAAGGGCAGGGAGATTCATTAAAAAAATATAATGGTGCAAGTGTTATCTAATTTATTGGATGATTGAATTTCATAAAATATCCTAGAGATCAGTAGAAAAATCATGATCGGATTCCTTGCAAACACTCTATCCCAATTCCTAAAGACCAAGCATTTGAGGCCAATGTCCTAAGAGAAGTACGAAAGTGGGATACTAGTCCTGGAAAACATATAAGAAAAAGTGCTACTGAAGGTGATGAGACAAGTTGTAAGATGCTTATCCGGATGTATGCCATGAAAGGGGTTTAATCGGAATTAACTAGTGCCTTTTACCACCTCCATTTGTTTACTATTAAAAACAGTTGCCATGAGGTGGAGCTTAACATGTTAAATTGCTTTTAAAAAATCACTGCACCATTCTCCATGAGCCAATGAAAAGAAAAAATAAAAACATAAACATATGCACAAGGTTCTAAATATCAATATCACCCGATATGCCGCTAGGGGTGGCGATACCGGTACTATTCTTTTACTTTTTTACTTTTTTTCGAAACCGATTCAGGAGTGCCAATTTAAGGCTCCACCCTGAACCGGTCAGAACCCCAATACACCCTCTCTATAGGGGCATATTGGGGTACTCCCGATACGATACGTATCTGACACATGTCGATACTTTGAACCTTGCATATGCATATACTTGACTCCAAGAAAAGAGGAGCAACCATCTGAGAGGAACTTGGGACAGATATATTTATGATACCATTGTCACAAATAAAATGACAAGTATACATACAACTACAAAACCAAGATTTATACAAATTAAAATCATGCAAACAGTAATGATAGAATTTTGATATGTTGGTATGTTTGTTAGCCAAACCCTGTCAGGTCAAGGTGTTGGTGATGAAGGCGACGATGGTGACAACATGCTGCATTGAATATATCTATTAAGTATTAACAGCTCCCCAGACCCCAATAGCCCATTTTTGGTCTCCTGTCTCTTCCGCAGTCAGCTTGAAAGACTAGATTTACTTGCTTCCACCCTTTGCATACGAATCTCGTAGAGTAACTGTTCGGTTGAACACAAGTTTTTCCGGTGTAGAATCTGGATCAACCACAAAATACCCTGAAACAACCGGAAAGAACAAATTCAGTAAAAGATGATATACCACCACTTGAAAACAGTGTCATTCTTGTTCTCGCTGGTTCTTGTTTCCCTAGATCTCTAGGTCTGTTTTGTTGTTTTCATTTGTGTGGGTGGGGTTCTTCCCTCATCTTGTTTAACTCTTCCTGGAATTATCAAAAAAAAAAAAAAAAAAAAAGATACCGTTCTTGGCATGCACCTAACAGGATGACACTGAAGGGATAAGATTGCCAACATTTCATGACCATAGTGGAAAAAAGTTACTATCAAGCAACAAGGTAATAAGAAGCCACATAAAGACATCAATATGAAAGCTTGAAGCTTTGATGTACTAGAATATACATGCTGATTAGTAAAACATATGAATGATTCTGAAACAATTGCCAAGCTTCCTTAGGCTGTCTTAAGTGGCATATTTCAAGGCATTGTCATTTTACCATGTGGTAAAAAAATTGGATAATTACAGCACATATGGAACAAAGTAACATTTACTTGCCAAGCAGATGAAGGAACATGAACATTACCATAACACACAATTCATTCAATGTCCAGTATAAACAGCTAAAAATAGGTACTGGAGTTACCTAGTCTTTCGAACTGGAACCTGTCTCCAACAGCAGCACTGCTAAGAGAGGCTACAGCAAGAGCCTCCGGTATTACCTCCTTGGAATGTGGATTCAGATCCGCAAGCCAATCATCAAGTTCAGCAGGATTCTAATACCATAATAAGAAAGCCATTAACTACTCAGTAATCTGCTATATAGACTGTTAACTAAAGCAACATCAGGAAATTAGATAAATTAATAAAGTAAATCTATTACCAACCTCAGAAATGAAAAGTTTGTCAAACAATCTGACTTCCACCTTAATAGGGTCAACCCCTGGAGATGGTTGAGCAACCCAGTGAAGAACACCCTGCATTGAAACAAAAAAAAAAGGTAAATAAGTTGCAGTAAAATTTATCCTAAATTCCTACCGTGATTGTGATATTTTTTTAAATGAATTGCCATTTGCAATGAGCTAAAACCTTGGGCTTTGTCTTTTTGGAAGGATCATACTCTGCCCGAATCTCAATAACACTCTCATTATCTTCAGCATAGATCACTTCTGTGCATTTTATGGGGAAGGCATATCTGCAAGCATGAAGAATACTTTCTAGTTTAGCAGGCACTCATCATGCATAAAGTCAAAAGGAGAATTCAGATACATACCTAAGTAGGACAGATTTACCAGGAGCAAGCCCATAGTAATCTTTTGAATCCTTAACCCGAAAATCAGAGTGTTCAATATACACAACATTTGTGAAGGGAACCTATTGATGAGAATGGAAAAGAAAGAAATCACTTAAAAATCAAGGCAAGATAATTTTTGAGAAAATTCAAGTAATTGAAAGGTGTGCTCGAACAAGGTTTATACAGCATAAAATGATTTTGAGAAAAAAGATAAGAAATTCCCCAAAAAAAGCTTGAAACCCTAAAATACAAAGTAATGCAGGAGACAAAAGGTCAAATTGAAACTTTCTAAACTTTAACATTTTTGTAGCACCGGACAACATCAGTATTTTGGTCACTCTACAGTTTACATGTCTATGGGATCCAACCTAATAGTTTGATTTCTCTATTATAGTTCAGTTGTGATTAAAATTTCAGTTATTAGTAGAGTTGTTTAGGAGTTATTTTCTTTTTACAAATTGCAATTCTGTAATTTGTTTTTCCTAGTTATAATAGGATTGGATACTGGCCCACCCCTATAATCTCTACACATGTTTAAAGTTATGGATGAATTGAGTTCATTTTGAATTCTAACCACTTATGCTAAGTGCAGTTAAGTGATTCCCACACCCTAGAGTGATTCTAGGCACCCAGTTATATGGTTCCAAGTCCTCTACTTTTCTCTTTCTTTATCTCACTGTGTATCTTTTCTCTCATTCTACAAGGTTTTAAAATCATCAAAAGTTTAAAAGTTTTCACCCAAAAAAGTTCATTCGACATGTCTTAAGGATTGGAATAGATCCAGCTATGTTTTCTTCAAGCTTATGTTTAAACCCAAAACTGTCCCGTTTTGGCAATTCCTGTCCTTCTGTAATGATCCGATATTCTCTTCACAAATCCAAAATATTTGCCTTCACATGCAACCCAAATGGATGGAAATTGTCCTGCTTTGTCAATTTCCATTCTTTTGTGCTGATCCCACTTTTACATCTGTTCAGGACAAATATAATACAAAATATCATTTTAGAATTACAATCCTAAAACTTTTTTATCAATAAAAGAACAATTTTATTAATAAAGAAAATGGGTACAATGGAACAGACAGAGAACTCTCTCCGAGATGACAGTTGATTACACAATTATAACACAGCCCAGAAAAGTCAATCCCTTCTCATCCCTTGCTTTGCCTAAGTATCAGCAAAAAAAGGGGCACTCCTTTTTACCCACTGCACCTGAACTTCTATGCTTTGTGTTACCCACTTGAACTTCATTCTTTGATTAATATTGTAGGTCGGGAGGTAAGGAGTGGGGGTCTACTCAAAAGACAGTAGATGACCAGGAAGGATGGGTGGCAAAGGGAGATAAAGAGATTGCAGAGAGTCTAAGGGCTGGAATTGCAGAAGGATGGAACTTACGCAGGAACTACAGTGAATGATTGTAAGGAGGGCCTCGAGACTCACCTATTTATAGGGAGAAAAGGGCGGGATCTGAGAGGGAACAAGGAGAGAGGGAAACTTCCCCACTTCAGAAAGGTGGTTAGAGTTTGTTAGATCTAAAACAGGCAAGCAACTCAGGGTCTCGCCATGTGTCCATGGGAATCCCCCAGAATTGGGAATTCCTGCCTCTGAGTCTGCATGGGACACGTTCATAACTATGGTCCCTTCTGGAAGCTTGCCTGGTTCTACGCCACGTGATCTTTTGTGCAAAGTGCTTGAGGCAATGCCGCAGGTGGAAGAATAGTAGGACATCATAGGGTGTCCTACTATCAGGGGGTTGGACATGCGCTGCAATTTTCACATCTTGATGTTTTGCAATGTGGCATTCCTAATATGTAACTGTCATCATGGCATTACCCTATGTAAGGATGTTTTTAAGGTGACGTCGCTACTACCGGAAAGATGGTATGATGTCGTGAATGACATCAGACTTTTATAATCTTAGTAAACTATGACTCAAGACGATAAGGGTTTGCGATGCTGGTCCTCAGATGTACAAGTATACCTATGTTCTGGCAATGATAATGACCTCCAACACAGGTTCTGCAAAGGCCAAGTCCATGTACAAATATAGTTCCACCAACCAATCTTATCCTGCAGCCAGCTCACTACTAACTTTGAATCCACTTCAATGAAATTTTCTGATGTTCAACTCCTTTGCTTTTTCAAATCTTTCCAACACCGCCATGATTCCAGCCCTCAATGAATCACCTATCTTATTGGTCCCAACTCCCAAGTAAAGAACAAGAACTCTTCTTCCCTCATTCCAGAAAACACCTCCTACCTCCTATGCCTGAAGGACCCGGGTTCCCCTCACTACCACCATCAAAATTGAGCTTGATAAACCCAGAAGTGGGTGGGACGCAGGTCAGCCTGATGACAGCTTTAGAGAAAGAGAGGAGTTGGCCACCTCCTTCCTTCAAAACTGCTCAAAGATTTTGCTCATTGAACTACTCTTATAGTAAAGGTTTCAATGAGTGCTTCTCTACTCTCCTTATCTGGGAAAAAAAATTCTTTGGTTGCTTTCCTCCCAAACCGTCCAACAAACAGCCGCTCTTGTGCACCTCCACAAAATTCACAATTTTGAGGCAAATCTAAAATTGTTGCAGTCAAGCCTTAAAACCTTCCCAACCTAACTAACTACTAGCTTTAGTCCCAAAATCACCCATAAAGTCTATTCTAGCTAATAAACTCCTTCCTAGATTGTCGCTGCATTATTCTAATCATGCATCAAAGTGGGTATCACAGCTATTAGCCCTACATCAATTTGGTATCAGAGAAAGTGATTATCATTAGATATCTTGATGAACAAGCATCACAAGGCCTCAACTACTCAATCTCAATCAGTACAAAATCCCCATCTTGCCCAACAAAAGATAAGCAACAACCAAAAAATTCCTCCACAAACATACCCTAGATAATAATGCCCCCCCCCCACCCCTCAAAGCCATCATCAACTAGACAAGTAGAAAAAAGAAATCAAAAAAGTAAATTATTTTGGATCAAGTTTTCCCCCATTGCAACCTCTCCCATGTCCTTGACTAGTGATGTTTTTACCTTAAACATCGTATCATATTAATAAGTTTGACTATGGCTAAGAAAAAATAAAAAAGGTGGTCTTGCTCGAAATCCAAATAATGGCATTTCTTTTGATCCAAAATAGGGAGAAACATATTTTTATGTCTTCTCAGCCCAAAATAGAAAGGTTCCTTTATGAGGATACTCCTAAGAACAGATGCAATTGAATCGGAGCAAAGCCTACAGCTAAAGGATTAGAGCATGTGTCTATGAATCCCGTGTTGGAGGTTTGAATCCATCCTCACCCACAACAAACCCAAATGGGAAGGTCAATGTCTACCAACCTCATTCACACAGTGTACCAATAGGTGGCTGCAAATGCTTTCCAAAGATGGTAGACAATATATTACCAAAGCAGTATATATTTACACGTTTGTGTTCCTAAGCAAAGAGTTCAGCTATTGGCCTGAACTATCCCCCTTAGGCCTGCCTCAGCAACTTCTCAAGAACATACAGGCAATATACTATCAAGAAGCTCATCTAATGGCTAAAATAATTATTTATCAAATTATCTAACAAAGCACTCCTTTCACCAATTAGCACTATAGATTCATGTATTCACCTTGTAAAAAGAAGATGCATCATCTGTCTGAGCATCAGGCCATTTCCTGGCATCAAGATCAATCACTGATTCAAGATTTGTGATAACAACCTGTAGACAGAGTTTATCAATCAATTGCTACCATAATGGTTCCCAATCAAAAGTTATGACCAGTGTTTTACAAGCGCAAGGCGCAAGGGCCATTTTGCGCCTGAGGCGCACGCCTTTTTGAGGCAAGGCGCACAATTTAAAAAAAAAGGCTAAGAATTCAAAAAATTTGCAAAAAAATAAAAAAAAATGCAAAAAATTATAAAACATTATATTAATAAAAATATTAACTTAAGTTTTAAAATAAATGTTTTAAAAAACCTATTATCTAAAATTAAAATACATAAATATAATATGTAAAGCATATTCAAATGAGAATTTAGAAATGGAATCAAACATATAAAACATTTTCAAGCATATAAAACCCACAATCTCTTTTTTTCCTCAATTGCATCAAGTAGCTAATATGACATATTACATTCCTAATTCTACGAGCCGCCTTTGTGCCACGCCCCGCGAGGCAAGCCCAAACAAGTCCATTACCAAATAGTTTTAATTGCTTTTAAGAAGATATTTTATTAAGATGAATGAATGGACAACATTACCAAATAGGGGATTCTCGAAGCTCCGGTGTTGTCAGATTCAAAAAAAAAAAAAGAAAAAGGCGGCAAATTTTCAAAAGTCGCACACCTGGGCTAAGGCACAAGGCGCACCAGGCGTGCACCTTTTGAATGGGCTGCTCCTAGGACCTAGGCGAGCCGCCTACCCTAAAAGGCACCTCACCTGAGCGCCTAGGCGCACCTGAGGTACGACTTTTAAATCACTGGTTATGACAAAATGAATACCTTGAGAGGATGCAGTACAACCATTGTACGAGGTGCTGTTCTGTTAAGCTCTTCTCTTATGTGGTATTCAAGGCGATCCAAACGTATCATACTATTATCACTATAGAAAAGAAAGAACACCATTATCAACTATTATGAGAATATATAAAACAAAATAATAACATCCACCAACAAGACCAAGCAGGAAAAAAAGATGTTCAACCTTCTAGTAATTCCAATTCCTCGAACAAATGCATTGATAGCAGTTGCAGTCACTCCTCGACGTCGTAAACCAGCCAGTGTCATTAAGCGGGGGTCATCCCAACCATTAACCCACTTCTCTGTGACAAGGCGGTTCAACTGCAATAGCAAATCAAAGGATTTTTGAGTGGAAAAAAATGTCAAAATTGACCAAACAAATACTTTCAAACTTTCCATAAATTTCAACAAGCAGCCACACCTTGCGCTTTGACATCACCGTGTTGGTGACATTTAACCGTGAATACTCCCACACATAGGGTTGGTAAAGGCCCAATGCATCTAATAACCAGTAGTATGAAGCACGGCGAGTCTCAAATTCAAGAGTACATAACTGCAAAGAGAGATGTCATGAGAATTGTTTTCCATACACCCAATCAGTAAATTAATACTAAAAACAATTCCATATTAAAAGCGCACCAAGTAGAGGTATCTCCTACTTACAACAACTGAGTTGGCAGCACGAAAACATTCCAAGCATCAGAAACGGTACCATGTCTAGTTCCAATTTAATAACTCAAGAAAATGACAAAAAAAACCACTGTTCTAACATCACTAATCACTGTCACCATATCATTTAAAACTGAAAAGGATTTCAATCTAGGAGTTCCGTTGGGATTGATAATATAATCCTTCCCTGTTGCTAGAAAGGAAGTATTTGTCCAAAAATCTTGAAGACCATAGAAAGACTAAAGTGGCCACCCAGGCCATGAGATGAACCCTCTGATTGGTCATACTCCAATAGTCCAAATCAGCTAGTACCCCCCCCCAACCATATGTTTAGCCTTTCTTTGCAAGTAAAATAAAAAATGAAATTCATTAAAAGTTGGTTCTTTGAAATTTTTATTTGTAAGTAAATAGAAACCATGTATTTGGCCTTTTTTCAAGATGCAACCCACTAGGGTTTTCAAACTTTTTTATTTTAATTTACAAAATAAGCCCTGAAAATTTTGTTTCCTTGCTTTCCACAGGCTGTTTGGTTGAAGCATGCTCCAACAAGATAGAATGATATTTAGCAAACAAGCAAACATGATGACTACTTTAGGCTGCCAGCTGAGATGCCACAGACATACCATGCTTCTACAGTCCTAAATTTACCTGGGATAGCCACATGATTAAAAGAAATAGCATCATTCATATTTGAAGAAAAAGAGAGTTCATTGGAAGAAACCAATAAAAAGGGCATGGAAATCATTAATAAAACCTCTCTAATAACCATACTATGACCCATGGACCCAAAACACCTTGTCTGTGGTTAAAGACATTCTGCCAATACTCAACACCAATTTTATTTCTGTTTCTTCTCACAAGACTGGGGGGATACAGCCACATCAGCAACATGAAAAAAAGGTTGTAAAATCTGGATACTTGACTAATTTCTATGTTTGGTTAGTTGAATTGAAATATTTGGCATCCTTGGTTCAGATAAAAGTACTTATGAACAAATGTGTATTGAGGGGGTGTGGGGATTGGAAGGGGGGAAGAGAGAGAGAGAGTCTCCAATAGTGGTTTGATGGTAGGTAGTGATATACAAAAAAAAAAAGATGAGATGTAGCAGCAGATTTACAGTATGACAAGGGATTTGGTGGGTATAACCTGTAATTATTACTAAGTGAACAGAGGTGTGGATATATGTGTAGTTCTGTACAGAGGTGCATATATCTGTATCAGAAGAAGGGAGAATAAAGGGTACAGAGGTGCATATATCTGTAGTTCTGTACTCAGAATAGGGCTGAATGAGATGGAAGTTGCCACTGAAAATGAGCTAGTTAAACCACATGCTCAATGTAACAATTTCTCTCTTTCTGCTTCTTTTACCTAATTGAGTGTTAAAGATATGGTATTGTGAAACTCCATAATATCGGAGTGTTGACAAAAAACAGTGTTTCAACGAGGCATTGATTAGCTTTTGCAGGAAGTATTATTGATGCAGTGAATTGAGCACTAGTCATTTTGGCCCTCATTAATCAATGCAATGATTAGTCAGTGCCTAAGCACTCACTTGGTCAATTAAAAAAAAGATATGTTCTAAATTTAAGATACTGATGCAATCTCATTAAATAAGTTAGTTCAGACTATAATTATGCAAGAAAGAATGATATCGACCATTTACTTTACACTCTTCATCTTACAACAAAGAAAAAAAAAAGTTAGGCTGAATAGGTAAGATTAGCAATCACAGCCTTTTTTATAAAGAAAGCGTGCAACCTTGCCTATTAGATGTGCTCTTTGGTTGCAGGTTATGGCAACTCTATACCAATGTACCACTGCTTGGAAGAAAACTTAGTAGAATGCCTTCACTGCCTTCTTTCATTTTATAATTTTTTTTCCTATTTTACATGCCATCATCCAATGATGTCCATCACAAATATTTAAAGCAACAGCATGAATATAACAAAACATACACATATTCTATAACATTTCAAATAATCAGAAATACAAACAAACAAAAAAAGCTTTAAAATAAATGCAGTTGACTAGTCAACCTAGTCGCTGCTTGGACACCCTAGGCAACTGCATGGATATCATGCAGAGTATTTCTTGGAATTCCATAATGTTTTCTCTTTTATGATTGTGTATGATTGAATTCCATGATTGGGGCATTAGTTCATAGGGAGGCTTCTATTCCCAAGCAGAGTATTTCTTGGATATCATGCAGAGTTGATTTTGGAGACCAAAAAGAGTGCCCTTCACAAATGTGTTCATGCAGCAATAACAACACTTTCAATTCATGAGTTGGACCACCATGACTTAAGTAGTCTTGTAAATGAAAGTGTTATTGAGAAAGCATTCCTCTATAGCTATAGGAAACTTTACTATAGCTATGCATTTGGATTTAGAAAATTGATGTCTGAAAAAATCTTTACTAGAGTGTCAGAGGAGGGATGAAGTTTCTTGGAACTGAATTGATGGATAACCATGGTGGGTTCTTGCCAAAAGCCATGCATTTGGTTGGGATTATGACAAAGCAAGACCATAGTTGTCAAGGCGACGCCTAGGCGACTAGGCGGTTTAAAAACTTCGCCTTGCCCAGACACCATGCAAAGTTTGTTTAAGGTGCACGCCCAGTCAGTTAGGCACACGCCTGCGACTAGGCAAGCGCTTAACTCCAAGGCGCACGCCTAAACTAGATGCAAGACACATTAATACATCTTTTAATACATTAATCCTTTAATATTTTGTATTGTCTTTTACTTTTCTTTTGCTGCTAATAGTTTTTATTGGTTAGTTTTTGTTATTACAATAGAACCCATCACACATTACCACTCTTTGTATTAGAAGAAGAGTGCTGTCTTTTTAGGGTTTTATTTTCATGGCAGAACTGAATAGAAGAGGGAGAGCTGTCCGGACAGGTATGTTTCAAACACAGTCCAACTCCAACTGTTGCTGCAATGCTGCATAACCAACAAGAAGTCTAAACAACTACGAATATGCCAGGTAGTCAAATGAATCATCTTCTTCTTCTCAGTTTTCAGTCCGCCTATTCTTCCTCCTACCCCCTTTGTTTTCAGCCCTTTTTTTCTTCCTTTTTTGTTGGTTCTTCCTTTTTTTCCTTCCTTTTTGTTGGTTCTTCCTTTTTTTTTGTCTTTTCCATACGTTTTTTGCATGATTTTATTTGGAATCAAACAGGGGCTCCGCCCCCTTTGTTTCTTCATTTTCCTGCAAATTTTTCACCCTTTTACCTGCACTTTTGTCCTCCTCGGTGGTAATCTGGAACAGGGGTTCCACTCCCTTTTTCTTCATTTCTCAGAGTTTCTTCATCAATTTTTCCTCTTCACTGGTGATCTGAAACAGGGGCTCTGCCCCCTTCTTTTCATTTTCTTAGTGTTTCCCTAGTTCTTCTTCGTCTAAAACAGGAGTGGAGACCCTTGTTCTTTTCTTTTTTTGGTCTAAAACAGGGTTCTGCCTTCCTGTTTTCTCCTCAAGTTCTCTTTATTTTCTTGGTCAAACACAGGAGCTACACCCTCTTCAGTTCTTACTAGCTCATGAAGGATAAAAACACGTAAGCTAAATATTTTCTGATTTCATTGCCTAGGCAAGGCCTAGGTGCCCGGGCGTCCCTTGGTCGCCTAGCCTCACCTTGGCGCCTTGAAAACAATGAGCAAGACATACAATTGATAATTTTTTTTATCAATAACAACATTTCATTACTTAATCACAAAAGTAATTACATTGAGGAAGATAAACTTTCTTATCTTCGAACTGGAGCTTAAACTTCCAAAAACAAAAAGGAAAAAATTACACTTGTGCCCAAAACATTGACTCCCTCTCGACTCCTTGCTTAGCTAACCCATTCGCAAAAGAGTTAGCTGATCTTTTCACCCAGCTGATCTTAACTTCCATCTCTTGAACCAGCCACCTATATTCATCTACTTAGCTCTTTGAACTCCTTCCAAAACTGCAAAGATCTCAGCCCTGAGAGAGTCACCCACTCCAATTGGGCCAGAGAACATGGCTGAAATAAACCCATTCCCATCCCTAAGCACACCTCCAATCCCCGACTGTCCAAGATTCCCCCGACTACTCCCATTAAAGTTTAGTTTTAAAAAGCCAGCCAGTGGGGGAGTCCAAGACACACACAAGATTGCTTTGGTTTGGCTGCAGTTAGCAATCTCACCCCACTTCCTCAACAAATCATCCGTTGTGAAGTCTGTAAACAGCTCTGAAGATTTCAGCCACTGCACTACCCTTATATGGATCAGTTCTCTCAATTCTTCATTGGTTCTTTCTAATTCAGAGAAGATTCTGGAATTCCTTTCCTCCCATTGGGCCCAACATACTGCAGCCCTCAAACATCTCCACATGGTCCTTCCCCCTTTTCATTCTGCATCTGAAGAAGGAAGGGGAAAAAAGGCTTTGCAAATTTGATGGAGGAGTCCATCTACACCCAAAAAGGGATAGTGCCCACACCCAAATGGACTTAGCAAACTAGCAAGTCACCAATAGGTGAAAACTAGTCTCCCCCTCCGCTTTACAAAGAACACACCAATAAGGGGATAAACATGTCTTGGGTCTTTTCTTTTGGAGCATATCAACAGTGTTGATTCTTTCCAGAAAAGCTTCCCAGCAAAAACTACCTACTCTAGGGGGAATTGGTCTGCACCAAACCTCCTTAACCGGGAAGGGAGGGCCAACAGGACTAGGGGACTGACTTAAGACTTTGAAAAAAGAGGCAAAAGAAAATGAGCCTGTGGGGGTGGGGATCCAAATTCTAGAATCCAACTTAGTAGGGTCCAAGAAAACATTATCAAGGATACCAAGGAGGCTCGAGATACTATCCAAGTTTGTATCTCTCAAACCCAAATTCCATCCAAACCAGAAGAAGAAGGTGAAAGGGTATAATAAAGGAAGAAATTGGCTCATTTTTTAATATGGAGAAGGCATACACAGAAGGAAACAAATCCCTAAGAGGGGCATTCCCCACCCAAGTTTGTTCCCAAAATTTTATGGAATTAACTAAGTCCATATCATACCTGATGAGAGGGGTGAAAGTTGGAAGCAAACCGTGAATGGCTTTCCAAGGTGACATACTTGTGGTCCTAGCTCAGATCCCAACATCCCATCCATTTTGCTCCACCCTGTGTATGCTTACCACTATTTTAGCCCATAGTCTCTCCTTTTCTATTGGGAGTCTCCACAGCCATATTCCCATGAGAGCCATATTCCTTTTTTTGATGTTTCTAAGCCCCAAGACACCAAGATTTTTACTTCTGGTCACCACCTTCCAACTCGCCCTATGATCCCTTTTATCCTCTCTCGGCTCCCATAGGAAATCTCTCATCATCTTCTCTGATCTGTTAGATACCTTTGCAGGAATTTTGAACACTAAAAGGAAATAAATGTGTAAATTAGCTAAAGTAGCCTTAATCAGTGTAATCCTCCCGCCAAGGGAAACATGATTCTTCTTCCAAGAGGCAAGTCTCTTTTCAAATCTTTCCACTACCGGATTCCAAAAACTCTCCTTCCCTAGGTAAATCAATGGCCAACCTGAGACTTCACAACCCAATATTTCTACACTTTCCTTGATCTCACCCTCCTCCAAATTCACACCACAACACAACTTTTCTCAAAATTCACCTTTAGGTTGGACATTTGTTCAAAAAGTTGCATCACCAACTTCATAATTCCTGATATACATCAAGTGGGTAAGGGGAATTTCCTCCCTTCCTAATCTCCATCCTCTTAAAAGGCCCCTAGAATCTGCTCTATGAATCAATCTTCCCAGTACATCAGCAACCAAAGTGAACAGGATACCAGTGCATGTGCCTCTGTTACTGCATTATAGCGTGGCATACAAACTCATGCCCGATTGATAAGGGCTTGCTTGAAATCAATGTCCCAAAATGAGGAACAAAAGATCATGACTCCTAGGATGGAGCATTTCCCTTGCGTGGTGGCCACAGAAAATCTAGCAAAGCTCAAAATGGTGAAGAACCCTATTCAAAGAATGTTCATGAAACCTAATGCTCTTTCAGCAGTGGAACCCCAAAAAACAGTGAATTACCTAACATGCATGCTTCTAGAGGGAAGTATGAAGATAGGAAGATGTTGCAAAGACTCAGGCCATAATGCAAGCCAGCAGTGAAGAAAGAAGCTATGTGTAGCTGGATCATCATGAAGGATGGTGTTCATGCTTATGTAGCTTGAGACGAATCTCACCTGGACAAGACATCCATGCAAATTTACAGAAGCTGAAAAGCAAAATGAGGGATGCCGTTATGTTCCTCAGGAAAACCTGCCTAGTATGATCTTGAAGTTGATAACAAGAGAGAAGTACTAGTTTATCATATTGAAAAGCTTGCAGTTGCTTATTGTTCTCACTTGTACATCAGTACTGCCTATTAGGATCATTAAGAACCTTAGGATCTATACTGAGTCGTTCTGTTGTCAAATATACATCCAAGATTTTTTTATTGGTCAAATATGTCCACGACTTTGGATGTCAAATAATTCTACAGGACTCCAACAGGTACCATATCGATGGCAAGCATTCATGCCAAGATTACTGGTAACTGGCTGATTGAACACTGGCATTATTCTGGATAAACCCAGTAAAGTGACTTTCAAAAAAAAGCAACTGCATTTAGAAGTAAAACAGATTCAGTAAACATATAAATCCTTTTCTGAGAGTTCATTTGAATGGAATTTGAAAATTTGAACCATATCAAAGAGACATGGAATTATGGTTCCAGCCATTCCGAGTTTATTCTTCCACAAGTTTACGTAAGAGATGAAGATTTTAGCCTCGTTATACAGTAAATTATCTACATTGCATATTTTCATTGTCCAGGCAAAAATAAACTTTTAATTGCTGTGCATTCTATCATCTTTTTCAAAGAAGAAGAAGAGAGAGAGAGAGATAGAGCCTTCATGAATTTCTTATTAGGCATAATCAAGCATACCGAATGTGTGATGTTTTCAAGAGAATCCACAATGCAATGAGCATAATCATAACTTGGATAAACACACCATTTGTCTCCTGAGTGTGGATGAGGAGTAAACTGCACAGAAAGTCAACAAACTGAAATAAAGCAACCACATAAGTTTTAGTGACAAAGAATGTTACACAGGTATACTTGCCTTGATACGATAAGCGATCAGATCGTACATATTATAATTGTCACTCTGCATATCTTGTTTCATTCTAAGAGTTGCTTTGCCTTCTTCAATCATACCTCGTCTCATTTCATCAAACAATTTCAATGATTCCTCCACCGGCCTATCCCTCCAAGGACTGTTCCACTTCTTTTCCCTGTACTCCTTTATTTCTTCGGGATTCTAGGATAAAAAATACAATGTATCAACTTCTAACCCTTTCCAATCAGTTACGAGGACCACCACAGCAATGCCATTGTTGTACAGCCTCAAAACTAAATAATAAACAAATAAGCACGACAAAAACTAAGTTCCTTGCATTCCATAGTTGGTCTGCATAAAGAGGTTGATGTTGTATGCAACTCCATAGCCGGACAATATCCATGTTCAGTTTGTACGGCTACCCACAATTATCCATATACCATTGAAATGAGCTAAATGATAGATGGAGATGGAGACAATGTCTTTGTGAAGTAATTGCTTTCAATTTAAGAATATATGGCCATGTCACCATAAACCTGTAAAATTGTCTAATAAGTTATTTAATACCAATGTTTTCAGAAGCTGAGAGGCATAGAACAAGGTGTTTCACTTTCCTACAGTCTGGTGTAGGAGCATCAAGGCAGGAGTGTAAGCTTCACAAGCTCCTATTTTTAATATTATTTTGTGTTGTATAATTTCATCACAAAAAGTAAGTACCTCCTCTAGTTGATTTAAATATATATACGATTTCGTCTTGACACAGTTTACACTTTTATATCATTTAATAATTATTTAATTTATTTTAATATATTTTGGACTCCATCACTAAATTCAACTGTGAAGTGATGGATAACATTTATTTATGCATCTTTCATTTCATTATTTTACACTCTTTCTATCTCCTCTTAAAGGCTGGGTTCGAACTTGGAACATATTTGGTGCATAAGAAGCACATGCTTCAATTTATGAAGCATTCACCTCACAAGATTTGAGCAAATGAATGGTGCACCTAAAGCATTTTAGAGATGCCTTGCTAGCTTGCTTCAAGGCACACCTCAATGAGTTAACCTCATAGACATCTGAAAATTAATACTCTTTACGTGAATGTCCAAAAGCAGACCTGGTGATCAACATAAGCATGGCCCCTCTTTATCAGCTCCACAGCTAGGTCGTATAAATCTTGGAAATAATCACTGGTGTAAGTGATCTGTTAATCACAAAAAGCCTTTAGATCCTTGTAGGTAACAAAGCAATGACACTGAATGGATCATTATTAAAATTTGAAACTATACCTTAAAAGGTTTCCAACCCATCCATTGGACAATTTCTTCAATGTGATCAATATATTCTTTCTTTTCAGCTTCAGGGTTTGTATCATCATACCTGGTGGCCCCAAAAGTAATAGAAGATATAATACAAAGATGAGCAATCTAACATTTCAATTTGCCATTTTAGCCAGACAAAGAAGGTTCTTTTTTCTGATAAGTAAACTTTAAGTTTTATTGAAAGAAACTAGTATCAACAAACATTACAAGAGCCCTGAGGATGGGTGCGAGGTGCAGCCTCTCACAGGGCAAAATAAAACAAATTACAAGTGAGCCCAGAGCAACAAGCACTTGTTTGGCTAAAGTATCTTCCATTCCATTAGCTGTTCTTTCCCATTGAATTCTTAGAGTCATATTGCTAAATACTAGAAAGCCATTTGAATCTCTTGGTTTCATCCCTATAAGCCCATAGTCCCATACTACTGCCTTCAGATTCTTCAACCATCCTACCGCCAGTTTTAGAATCCTCTTCAATAACCAATTTGTCAAAATTCAACTATATTGTTAACTGTACCCCTTGGAATATAGCAAGAAATTCAGCTGTAATTTAGTCCCACATTGGCAGGTCCCGAGAATAGCACAACAACTTTATTCCTGAAAACACCCTCTGTACCTCATGGGCCCGGGTTGCCCTGACTCCTCCCATCTAAGTTTAGATTAATAGAATCGTCTTCAAGGGGTGATCAAGAGGAAGTAATATTATCCGTCTTTGAAAAGCTACTTGCCACTAAACCAACTCCAAATATCATCAGAGAAATGTAAGAAAATGCTCAAAGTTTTAACCAAATGTATCACCCTTGTCACTATAGACTTTATCACCACTTCCCACTTCCTTTTTCTTTTTCTAGGAAGATTCAGCTGCTTCAGCATCCAAAGATGGCCAACACTTTTAATCTAACATCCAACTCGCTTTTGTAAATGGATGTAAAATGATTCACAAAAACTTTAGCTATCTCATCTTGGACACAAATCAATTCTCTAGTCACTTCCAATTTAGTCACAAAGTTTGTTCTTCTTCTTCATTTGTAATTGCATGAACAAAACAAAGAGTTTTACCATTCTATTCCATAAATAAGGATGGATTCAGGATAGTGTTGTTTTTTTCTTTTTTCTTTTCTATATAAAAATCATCTGACTTGATCCATGAAAACGCTATAGGAAACTGAGATGAAATGAAAATTACCAAATTCAAGTAAACATGTTTTCTTCGTTGATGTATTTAGTTCCCTCAATAATCAGGAGGTTAGAAAAATCACCTTGGTGAAAAAAGACAGAACTTTTGGACAATACTTGTCACTGAGGAAAATCTCTTCATCTTGATATTTTCTGATAAGAAATAATCAACTAAGAAAAGTTGTTATAGGATTTTGTAGGCTAGTATTTGGGTATATATTTATCAGTGTCTAGGAAACTGGACCGGACAACCAAACCGGTTGAACCATGACCCAGACCTATATCCAGTCTGGGTGTACCCTAGAAACCAGACTATGCAAAAAAACGCTTAAAACTGGACAAAAAACGCCAGTTTAACCAGAAAACCGGTGAACTGGTCCCGGATTCTTAAAAAAAACCAGGTCTTTCAAATGTATAGATTCAAAATGCAAATGATAAGATTTGAACCCATAACCGTTTTTTCATGTATATTGAGTTATTACCATTAATCCACTTTATTATTTGTCATTTATGAATATTTAATGCACACATTGCTTAATTGCTTTAATACACATATATTTTAAAGAAAATGCCAGTTGGGAGGTTAGAACCCTAGTCAATTGCTTTAAAAATTAAAGAAACAAACCATCCATCCACCACATTTAAGTACAATAATATTTGTATAATATATTATATATAGTATTTATGTGATCCATGGTGTATATATATATGCCATGTCATCATGGTTCGACCTCCAGTTTGACTGCAGTTGTACCTCTAACCCATGAACCACTCCCCTTTTTGGTTCTATGTCCGGTCCAGTTCTCTGAACAATGATATTTATTTCCACAATGACCAAACAGTTAGATATTACATTGGTGATAAAAGACGGAATATTTAGATAATTCTTGGTATTTTTAGGAAAATCTTTTCATCTTGAAAATTTCTGATATGAGATTATCATCAAAAGGGTTGGCTTGAATATATAACATCAATATTAATCAGAGCAATGACCATAGGGTTGGCTTGACAAATATATACTGAGGGCTACAAGATTTATTTTAGTAGGTAACTGTTATTCTTAGTTTATATATACTAGTGGGGACCTGTGCGATGCATGGGATTTGTGAGGGAAGTGAAACATTTCTTTGCTAGGAAACTGTAACTTTCATTAGTGAGATTAAAAAAGTACATTTGTCACCACCCAAAGGATGGCTAGAGAATCCAAAAACATAAGCAATCCTACAAACAAGCCCAAAACAAAGCCTCCCTATTTACACTTTCTTAGCTAAAGCATCAGCCATTCTATTTGCTGATTTTCTTGCCCATTTAGACTGCACCCCTAACTCCCTTGCTAAGTTCAAAATTTCCCTTAGTGGTTGCCTGAAAGACCACACCCAAACTTCGTGTTTGCATCCAACCTATTACCAGTTTAGAGTAACCTTCCACTTCTAACTGTTGCACTCCCCACTGTTTTGCCAGTCTACGGAGAACATTTTGGAGAAAGTTTATTGTCATCCTCATCAGGAGGTCTAGTTTAATGGGTTTGGAATTCTCTAGCTGTTTTTTTTAATTCTTTTCTAGTTGTATCTATCCTGTTCTGTTTCAGCTGTGATGGTTGTGGTGAAATCAATTCACCTTTGTATGCTTTCCCATTAATGAAATTTTACTTTTAATATCAAAATTAATGAAGAAAAATTATCACCTGGAAGACAGTCTTACATATTATAGAAACTAACAGGTATTGTTGCACTGAGCAATAAAAGCATTCAGTTGAGGTAACATAGCAAGAATAAAAGTCTAGTACAATGCATTTTATATCTATAAAAAAGTATAAGCAAAACAGCATCAAGGTTAAACCATAAGAAGGTAAGAAGCTAATGTTTACCTCAGGTAACAACATCCATCTCTCTCTTTTGCCAGGCCAAAGCTAACAAACATTGCCTGTATTAATGATTGTTACCAGTTAGTAAACAATATGTACGTGGATAAAGGATCTGAAAGTTCCTACAACACAAAACATTAGTTATGGTTACCTTGGCATGGCCAATGTGTAGATACCCATTTGGTTCAGGTGGGAAGCGGGTGAATACTCGACCTCCTGTTGCTTTCAAATGCTTTTCTAGCATTTCCTTTGTATTGCAGACTCTTAACACAGGCCGATCACTAAAGAATATTTCAGTATGAACCTAATAATCCACAATACAGGAATAAAGCAGTTTAGCCAATCCCATATAGTTGGGAGAAAACTTTGTCAACTTGAGTTTGGGAACAAATAAACTTCATCAAATTTTTTGATAAATAAGCTTCATCAGATTTCTTTAAGTTGCACAGAAAAGCATTAAATGATTATAGTTGAATAATTAGCCTTTTAAATTTGTATGCAGAAATTTGAAAACCAGGGAAAAAAAACATTGTTCATTCGGCTCAAAGATCATGTAACAAAAACAGTATAACAATTATTTCTCATTACTAAAATAAATTTGAAATCAAGAAAAAGAAATAGCATTTCTCAGTAAGCTAGAAACAACCACTATTGTAGAAATAGGAGAAAAACAAGAAAATAACACTATCCATTCAAACTAAGTGTACAAGTTGGCAATGGAGGCTAGAAATAAAGGGCCATCAAAGTGACTTTCATGAATATGCTAACCCATATGCTGAAATAAGTAAAAAGAAATATGAACAAGATAACTGTCTAGTATGAAGTTGACCAACAAATCAAATTGCTAAACAAAGATTACTTCAAAACATATAAACTAAAATGGCATACTGAGAAGGAAGTTAATATACTTCAATTTAATATTCATCATTTGCCAATTGAAGGTGGCTAGGTAGGATCTCTGACATGTAGCAGAGACCTTGGATCAAATCCCACTGCCACTAGGGTTGGGGGCTAAGGGGATGGGGGATGGGCCACCCCACGTTGTGTAGCCCAACGAAGCCAAAAAATATTGATCATTTATCATGGGACAATGAACCATCATCATAGTTGACATCTTGGGTGAATGAACTTACATATGGGAGGACTACATAATGATTTTACACCTTCAAAATGCATGATTATTAAAGTAATTTGTGACAAAACAAGGTAAGCCAAATTGCTTATATAGTTCACAAGCTAGTAAACACCACACTCAAAACATAGAAGTAAAAAACATATAAATGAATACCTTAAAATTTTCCTCTGGCTGAGGGAATATTGTGAAAGGGTTAAGCTCTTCTTCAGGGGGAGGCACTGATGGAATATCCACAGAACTAACTTTATCCTACATCACAGGAGAGGAAAGAAATTGAGTCATCTATTAATAACAGAAAAGAATACAAAGCTAAACCCAGAATGCATGCAACATGCACTACCTCTACTTTAACAGTCTTCTCCTTCTTCTTTTTTGATGCCTTCTCATTATCAGCTGCAGTCCTCTCACCAAGTAAGTCATAAAGTTTTGCATCCATAGCTTGCTGTTGCAAGTAACAAAACACTTGAGCAACAAACCAGAAAGAATGATCAAACACCAAAAGTAGGTAGTTACTGTTTTAAAACTTGAACCATTTATCTTACATGGAACATAAATGCAAACCCTCACCTTCACAAGTTTTGGATCAGCCCATGGCTGCCTCTTTCGAACTTGTGCAAATAGGTCACCAACTAGAAACAATAAACATGAACTGAGCATCAACTTCCACAACATTATTTGTGAAAAGATCACAACTTCAAGGCAACAGCCATAAGAACAAAACTAAATAGACAGCTCAAATTATGATGTAACCTCAAATTAGCAAACATGGTTTCAAACTTGGGCTGAACAATAAGATTTCTGTCAGTAGTGGAGTGAAACCAAATTAGAATTTTACACATGGTACTGTGGTAGGTTTTAGTTGACAATTCACTGTTTTTTAACATGTTCTGTAAAACTTTTATTAATATTAGCAGAATATACAAAATGTAGATTGAGATAAACAAAGAATCACATCAGTCAAACTCTGCACCCACAACATACCCTTAGAAAAAAAGGCAGCATCACCAACCCTCTCAAATTCCTTTTACATTATGTTATTGATTTGAGGCTGCCCCTACCCTTGGTTTAGTTGTCCCCAAAACAACTAGTTTCTGTGAATCCCTTACCTAGGCATAACATTTGCTAAAGCATTAGCTGACCATTTTACCCACTTGGCTTTTGCTCTTAACTGCCTCATTGTTTACATTCAATGTTTTGATAGTTTCAGTTAAAACTAATTATGATCTTATAGTCAATGGTAGCTAATATAACCGTAAAAACAGGTACCATGACCATCCAAGCCTTATCCCAATTATATGGGATCAGCTACATGAATTCTACTACCCATGTCTTTCTTGTCTACCCCAGTGATTTAAAAGGCATGCCTAGGCGCACAGGCGAGGCACATTTTGGGGTTTGCACCTCACCTAGGTCCTAGGCACACCCTTTTCAAAAGGCGCATGCCTGGTGTGCCTAGTGATTTAAAAGGCACGCCTAGGTGCACAGGCGAGGCGCATTTTAGGGTAGGTGCCTCGCCTAGGTCCTAGGCGCAGGCCTAGTGCGCCCGGTGTGCCTTGCGCCTTAGCCCAAGCGTGCGCCTTTGAAAATTTGCCGCTTTTTACTTTTTTTGAGTCTGGCAGCTAGGCCGGGCACTAGAGCTTCGAGAACCCCCTATTTGGATGTTGTCCATTCATCCATCCTAATAAAATATCTTCTTAAAAGCAATTAAAACTATAAAATCATTATTTTTTCTATGAAAACTAAGAGTTTAAGACCCTAACATGGACTTGTTTGGGCTTGCCTCAAGGGGCATGGCACAAAGGCGGCTCGTAGAATTATGAATGCAATATGTCACATTAGCTACTTGATGCAATTGAGGAAAAAAGAGATTGTGAGTTTTATATGCTTGAAAATGTTTTATATGTTTGATTTCATTTTTAAATTCTCATTTGAATATGTTTTACATATTATGTTTATGAATTTTAATTTTAGATAATAGGTTTTTTAAAACATTTATTTTAGAACTTATGTTTATATTTTTATTAATATTATGTTTTATAACTTTTTGATTTTTTTTTAATTTTTTTGAATTTTTAGCTTTTTTTTAAGTGTGCCTTGCCTCAAAAAGGTGTGTGCCACGCCTTGCGCCTTGTGCTTTTAAAACATTGGGTGCGCCTAGGCGTGCGCCTGATGCGCCTTGCACCTCAGCCCAGGCATGCGCCTTTTTAAAATTTTGTGCTTTTTGCTTTTTTTTTAGTCTAACGACTGGGCTGGGGGCTAACACCCCCAGGCCCCCAGCCACACCCCTCAAGGCAAGCCCGAACAAGTCTATGTTAGGATCTGAAATTCTTATTTCTCACATAAAAATTAATGATTCTATAACTTTCATTGCCTTTTAAGAAGATATTTTATTGCAATGAATGAATCAACAACATTAGCAAATATGGGGTTCTAGAGGGGCATGGAACAAAGGCGACTCATAGAATCAAGATTGCAATATGTTTTACATCACATTAGCTAATTGAAGCAATGCAATTAAGGAAAAAAAATATATTGTGGGTTTTACATGCTAGAAAATGCTTTATATATTTTCTTTTATTTTAAATTTTTCATTTGAACACACTTTACATGTTATGTTTATGTATTTTAATTTTTAGATAATAGGTTTTTTAAAACATTTATTTTAAATTTTAAGTTTATATTTTTTCTGAACATTATGTTTACTATTCTTTTGAATTTTTTGCATTTTTTTTAATTTTTGGCTTTTTTTGAATTTTCTAACTTTTTTATTTTTTAGCTTTTTTCTGTTATTTTGCACCTTGCTTAAAAAGGCGCACGCCACGCCTTGAGCTTTTAAAACACTGATCCACACCTAGCCCTTCTAGCCCCTTCAACTTGAAACAGATCATTTCTTCTTACAGGTGTTGTTGATGGTCTTCTATACATGTTACCAAACCATCTTAGTCTACTTTCTCTCATTTTATCACCTAGTGCAGTTACTCCTACATTCCTTCAAATGGCATCATTTCTGATCCTATCCTTTCTACTTTTTCCACTCATCAAACTCAGCATTCAGCATACACATTTCCGCCACACTCATTTTTTGAATATCCATAAACAATGACATAAAGAATAAGACCATAATATCACAGCATTTACATTATATTGAAGAATGCCAATGGGCATACCCATTAAAGGTGTAACCACAATTTTTGTAAATGCATGAACTATAGTGGAATTTGAGAGCACAAAATTTCTATGCATGAGCTATACAGATTTTTCATTGGGACCCATCATTTCAAGAAGGACTATCTTAAACAATTGACCGCAAGTTATGTGTTGGGAAAATACAAATACTAGAGTCCCCTACTGTACAGTTTAAATAGTTGGACAGATGTTATGTGGAGCCATTTAAAGTGAAGATTCATAATTTTAGAAAGAGTCAACATGGCAGGTATTCTAGGGCCCATTTGGCATGCCTTTCCGCGCAGTCTTTCAACTGTTTACAAGTCAGGAAGACCGATTGTCAGTCTATTCTCATTTGGTTCGCGGAAGATCTAGCCTTCAAAAGCTGGGGCACCGAAAAGATGCAAGAAGCCCATTTTGGGCTGATTTCAGGAAGCTTCAAATGAAGCTTTTTGTGTCTTTCGCGTTTTATTCTCACACGGAAGACACAGAAAGACGTGTATCTGCCAAACTAGCTTCAGGCTGCTCAGATCATGCAAAAGCTCAATATGTCTTTTGACTATCAGAGCTACCAGAAGATATTCCCAAAAAGACTTGCAAAACGGGCCCTTAGTAAATCCACCTGATTCGGACTGTAGCTGAGTCCAACATAAAATTTGGAGAGTCAGACACAAGAAAACTCATGGACATACATCAACTCCCAAGTCTCCTTCAAAGGTATGGTGTTTGTGCAACATTGAATTTAACACACTCAAACTTGGTATGGGTTCAGGTACGCTTAAGCCCAAGGTATTGAAAAACAATGTGTATAAGTTTGATGATATGTCATTGATCTAAATTGCTAGATGGGAATATTGACCGTCTATGGTTTTGGGTCAGGTTTGGTCTACTCAGGGCCCAGCTCAAGAAATGGAAAAACCCAAGATTCCAAACTCAGGCCTAGCCCAAATACCAAAAATCCAGAACCAGCCAATGAAAATTTTCAGATTGGGTCAATCCATCTTGCACCCCTAAGAAAAATTATCAAGAATAATAATAATAATAATATGTGTATGTATGTACATACATACATACACATATACATACATACACTAAATTTTGTTTTACAAGCACAAGTCAGTTCCTATTCAAGAAGAAATATGTTCCATTCCAACTTCTAAGAAACTTGGATAAACACTCAGAGAAAGTTGCCCAAATTATTTTGTGACTAATTCCAAAAAAATGGAGAATATAAAATTATAGAGAAACAAATATATAAAAGGAAGAGTCTAACTTGATGTCAGCACCAATATCCAACAGCCTTCGAACCATAATTGTTCATCATCATCATCATCGCCTTATCCCAATCATATAGGGTGAGCCACATGAATCTTCTTGTGTCACTCCATTCTGATTATTGTCATATCCATTGTTAAATTGTGAGCATTTAAATCATTTCTTACTACTTCAACCCCATGTCCTTTTGGTCCATCAACTTGCAATAAATCACTTCATACAAGTGTTGTAGATGGTCTTCCACGCATGTGACCAAACCATCTTAGTCTACTTTCAAAAAGAAAATTATCACCCATTGGAGATACTACTAAGTTCCTTCAAGTGATTTCATTTCTAACCCAATCCTTTCTAGTTTTCCCACTCATCCATCTCAGCACATTTCTACCACACTCGTTTTTTTGGACACGTTTCGTGACTGCTCAACACTTTGCTCCATACAGTATTTCTGGCCTTACAACTATTTTATAGAATTTCCCTTTATATCTAAGTTGTATTTGCCTATTACATAAGAGAAACAAATATATGAAATGAAACTTTTGAATTTAACTTAATATAAGCACCAAAATCCAACAGCCCTATAACTGTTAACTGAAATAAATATTAGAGAGACCGAAAAAAGCTATTTAATATTTTGACAAACACTGCAAGCAAGAAAAACCAACCATTTGTTCTATAACGCTGTTCCAATATGGCATTTTTGTTCAGCTCCACAACCTCAGCAATCGTGCGTTCAATTTCTTCTGAGGAAACATCTACACCTGTTTACAAATGAAAGGGAACTAATCATGAAAATAGCCCTAAGAGACAAAAAAAAAATATGATACAGTATTAGGTGTGACTGGCTTCAGAACATGTCAACCAATGCTAAGAAGCATAGAAGCAACATCATAAGAAAAAAGGCAGCTGAATAGCAAGTGATCAAGGCATTATAAGACTCATAAGTTTTGGTCTAACATTAGCAATAATAACAAATACATATAACCAAAATAGAGAGCTGTCCAATCCAATAGCAGTAAAAAGTTCTATGTTCACTTAAAAAAACGATTATGGCAAGAAGAAAACATAGGTTGGGACCCCAAGCACAAATTAAATAGAAGAGGCTTTGAAAATGCTAAAAGGTCAGACACTGGCATGCTCATCAACAAACAAAAATAGATCATTAGAGAAGGAATCTTCAAACATCATCATGAGCAGAAACAAAAATTTAGATAAAATGAACAATCATTATTTGCTATCTATACTTGAAAATAAAATTAAATGAAATGAAATGAATGACAAGAACATAAATAACATGTCAGTAAAAAGCCATGACCATTTTTTTTGTGTCATGAATAAAAATAATGAGCGTTCATATTCACTTGCAAACTGATAATTAAAAGATGAAATCAGCAAACAAGAACTTCACATAAGTTGAATGAAGATTTTAGGAAATGGATTCAAATCATAAATTTTTATCTGTATGATGACATTGGTGAACAAAAAGCAAAAAAAAAAAGTGTTTTTATGAAACCATACCTACACCACAAGTTACTTCAAAATCATTCAATTGAAATTTCTCCTGACCAACGCTTGTAAAAAATGAGAAAGCTGCCTCAAGCTGAGCTGGAGTTTTTATCTACAAAAATAATGATTGTCAGACAGAGAAAAGTACATCTGAAAGTTTCTACTACAAAAAGAAAGGTCATGCAAAATTGACAGCACAACTGGTATACAGGTCCCAATCAGTGGGTAAATACACATTGCCCCAACTTTGCATGTTGATAAAAGAAATTCATCTAGAATTATTCTGGCAAACAATACATTACACATTATAATGTTAGAAATCGAAGTCTTGTCTCTAACCTTCAACGAGACCACGTATTCAAGCAATGTGGGCCGATGTACAAGTGCATTAGCCGGGAATTTGGTAGCAACCTGAATTGCATAAGAAACTAATCAATATGCAAGGCTTTCCATATCTGCATAATCATAATAAAGAGTAATAGATAAATTTACCGTGTATAATAGATTTCCAACAGCCCTGCTACACCCATCAGTAACACCAGCCTGAGAGAGGGGAAATATGGTGTCAATCGAACATCTAAACTCCAACCCCACGAAACAACGTAAGTTCAAAGACATAACTCTTTTATCAGACAGTTCCAAACATATATGCCACCATTACAAAACCAATAAATGCACTCAATCGTGCAGTCTCTCTGTTATAATAAAGTGACAAAATGAACTTCACACCATAGTCACATGCAATGTAGGATTTTCACAAGAGAACAACGTGGATGAACCATGTTAAAACGTCCATATTTCAGTGTAGGAAAAAAAAACAAGTCATTTTTATGACAAAATTAGACAGAGACTTATATAACAGAAGACACAGAGTACTGCTCCATACGAAAAGAATCAAAACCCTATTAGTAAATTCAAGTAATATGAATGAAAAAATGCATAATTGACACTCAAGATTCCTATACCTCGTGAATAACTGCAGTTAAATTGCCAGTAACCTTGTTATTGGCAATGGTGTTCCGAGCAGTCCTCTCATCCAAACCGATCCTCAAGAACAACTCCAATGATTTCTCATTGCTATCGCCTTTAGCCACCATTTTTTCTTCCAGTCAAGCTTCGAAATCTGCATAAGCACAGATCGGAAAAAAAAAAAAAAAAACAAAGAAAAAAGTAAAGATAAATAATCAAAATGGGGAATAAGGCCAAGATTAATGAATTGATAGAGGAGGAAAGGTGGCGGCTAACCGTAGAAGGGGGAGAAGAGAAATAAGCCCTAGACTATTACTCTCGTTCTCACTTCTCAGTGCTACTTTATACCGGTAAGACCAGAGAAATATCTTTCGTTTGGCCCCAAGGCTAGCCCCACGGTTCTTGAGCAAAACGTCAGGCTCCCCTCGTTCGAGGACAAAGTCCAAGTTTCGAAGCTTTTTCCTCTTTTCCGCTTGGAAGGGTATTAAGGCATTTAACTTGGCGCCACTTGAGCCGGCGCAGCGCAGTACGGTGAATTCTGATTTCAAGTGTCAATACCGAGCCAACCACGGCCCTTGTCCAATTAGAGCGAGGCTGTGTCCTACCACGAGAGTGCGAGACCTGAATCGTTCTAACTCACGGACAACAAGTAGTAGGGCGAGGGGTGATCATGGGCCGGGCTTTGCATTTATAATAAGGGTTATAGAATAGGCCTGGGGTTCTGGGCCTGAAATATAAGTCTTAGCCTAAGTTTATATGGATCCAATTCGGATCAGGCCTGATTCTGGGCCAATGTCTTTCATATATAAAACATTACATATCTATAATATTTTATCTTAAATGATATAATATATATATAAACTTATTTTATACATTATATAATATAAAATATTACATATAATATAAATTATATATGTCATGTTATAATATTTATATATAATATATATAATATAATGTAAAATAACATATATATACATATGTATACATTATACACAAAATATATAAATTTAAATATATGTTGGCCAGTTCGAGCCCAGGCTAGGCTTGAAGTATTAAGCCCAAGCTTGAAATTTCTGAGCTGGGCTGAAATGATCACACCTAACAAGTATCAGATTATAAACGTGGGTCAATAAACCAAGTCCAACACCCGATTTAACATCTCAAATAAATAAAATAAAGAAAAGAGAGAAACCTATATGGAGATAATAAGAGATGTAGATAGAGAAAAAATATCGCAAAATCCTAGAGGAGGGATGTTTTAATATAGGGAAAGGGAAGGGTGTGGCAGCAGAGGAGGAAGAGTCCTCAGGATGATGATCAGGTGAAAGTTGGTATCATGGGAGGAAGCTCGAGTGTAAATCAAGAGGCCGGTCTAGCCTTGGTTCATGGTGAAGGTTTGTAGTGGAGGAAGTGGACCCGCGACTACAAGGGAGGGAGGAGAAGGTACAAGGATATGGGAAATCTCTAGATTTTGCAGTTGTTGTTTTGGAGGATTCAAGGCCGAGGCGTTCACAATAGCTAGGCTCATTGGAGGAGGGTGAGATCCTGGTGGAGGGGTCCAAGGCTTTATTTGAGTCGGACAAGTGGCCTTTGGGACAACGACTTCTAATATGGTCAAATGGCGGGGCAATTTCTTATACTTGAAATTTGGGGAAGTTTTTGGAGTTTTGTTGGTAGGCTAGATAGGGGTGAGCATAAACAGAACCGAAAATTCCAACTTCGATTTTTTTCAGTTTGATTAATTCAGTTTTTGAAATTTCGATTCAATTCAGTTTTTGTAAATTTTGGTTTTTAGAATTAAAAATCCGGTTAATCAAAAAAAAAACGAATTAATCAAAATTCATTATATAATATGTAATATATAATATATAATATATTATACATTTATATATTAATATATTATATATAGTATATTATAATGAAATTCAGTTTCATAATATATATTATAATATATATATATATTATAAATTACAATATACAATATTTTATGTATGTTAGTGAAATTTGGTTTAACCGAAATAACTGAAATTTTCGGTTTTGATTTTCTTGTAATTCAATTTTGGTTCGGATTTGACCTTTTTATTTTGGTTTTTAAAATTTTGGTTTATTCAGTTTAGTTCGATTTTTAACCAAATAAACCAAATGCTTACCCCTATTTGGAGAAACAAACGAAGGATTTCTCATGGAGATGGAGCACAAAATTTTGCAAGAAAAAGGGAAATAAAGCTAATGGCAAATCTAAGTGCTAAAGGCAAAAGGGAGCCGCTAAGGCTCACTTGGGGCTTAAACAACACGACAGGGTACACTGAAGATGGGAGGAGGGGGAAGAGAAAAGGACGAGGAATTGGTAGTGGAATGGACGGTAAGAAAGTTCAGGGGTCTTAGGGATCAAGTAGGGTGGCAAGTTTACTCTTTCCTTTACTTCATGTTAAAATGAAGGTGCTACTAGGGGTGTAAACGGATCGAATTCGAATATGATCAGGCAATATCCAAATTCGAATTCGATTAGAAAATCCAATATCCGAATTCGATTCGATATCCGATGGATATTGAAAATTAATATCCAAATTCGAATCCGATTAAATATCTGAATATTCGATTCGATTCGAATTCAATTAATTAATTATTTTAGATAATTAATAAATATATAAAATAAATATTTTATTAATATAAAGTATATAAATATATAAATTATTTATATAACTAATTATTATATATATTATATAAAATATTTTATATATTATATATAAGAATTAAATAATCAGTCAAATTCGGATATTTATCGAATCGAATCAGGTTATATCCGAATTCGAATTCGATTAACTATTCAGTAAGAATAGGATATTCGAATTCGATCGGTTAGATATTCGAATTATCTGAATTCGATTCGATTGTGTCGAATATCGAAATCGGATTTTTGAATACCGTTGACACCCCTAGGTGCTTGGAATGTTCATTATTTGTGTTTAGGTAGAAGGAGGGTATAGGCTTGGCGCCATTTTATTGCAAGAAACAAAGCTTAGCATGGTAGAGGGTTTAATGGTTAGAAGTATCGTGGGGGATGGGCACTGCAGCTAGGGGGGTGTCCACGATTTGGTTAACTGAACCATGGCTTTGTAAACCAAACCCGTGGTAGCAGTTTTTCCGTTTTGCCAAACTGAAACTGAACCGATACCACCAGTTAACCGGTCTACCGGTTTTAGTTTTTGACCGATTTGGTTCTTTAGTTCTTCGATTTTTTATATTTATAATATATATTATATAAATATATGTACAATATTATATTATGAATAATAAATGATATATAATATATTATAAATATTTTAAAAATATATAATATATAATATATTTATAAATAGATCATTATAAATATAATGAATATATATTTATATATAATACATAGAAAATATGTGACATATATTAAAAATATATATAAAATATACATATAAATATATATACCAGTCGGTTTGGTTAACTGCCGGTTTATTTGTAGGTTAACCGAAAACCGAACTGGTCCTTCGGTTTTTCAAAAATTCTGAACCGAAACCGAACCAATTAATTTAGTTCGGTTTTTTGGTTTTTCGGTTTTTCATGGACACCCCTAGGATTCTGGTTATATGAAACTCTAATACTATCATTGTGATTAACTTGTTTGTTGGAGAATTTTCTATTTCTATTGAAGTTCTGGGTGCGAGTACCACTAAGGTCTATGGTCCTAATGAAGAGTCTGGAAGGCTAGCTTTCTAGGAGGAGTTAGATGGGATCAAGAGTAAGGGTAACTCTCTGTGGTGTATGGGGTTATTTTAATGCTATCAAGTTTCCACAAGAGAAGAAAGGGTGTTCTAGAAGATCTACAAGAATGAGAGCTTTTGGGGATTTTGTTAACAGGCACATGCCGGTGGACTTACCTTTATTAGGAGCAAAGTTCACCTAGACAAATAATCAAGGGTATATCCTACCCTAGTCCAGCTTGATAGGTTCCTAGTCTCGATTAATTGGGAGGGAACTTTTCCTAACTTATTTTAGGAGGCTCTTCCTATACCAATGCTTGACCATAGGCCTATCTTGCTATAGGGGGGAAGGTATGATTGAGAAGAAATATAGGTCCTTTCCAATGTGAGAGCATATGTGGTTTCAAGAGCAAGGTTTTGAAGAGTTTTTGAAGGAGTGGTGGGAGATTTTGAGGTGGAAGGTTCAAGTTCTTACATCCTAGCTAAGAAATTGCAATTGCTAAAAGTTAAAATCTTAGACTAGAAAAAGAACTACTTCAAAGTGATGCAAGTTAAGAAAAGAGATTTGTTACAGACCATTAATGATCTTGACAAAAAGAGGAATAGGAGACTCTCGTAGAGATAAAGAAGGCAGATAGAACTAAAGCCAAGCTACTTTTTAACAAGGTGGCCTACTAGGAAGAAATCAAGTGGAGGCAGCGAACCAAATAAGGGAAAGTTCCTTAAAGAAGTTGCAAATAGGGGAAAGAGTAATTGAAGATGAAAATTCCATTAAAAAAAAGGTAGTGAATTTCTAAAAAAAGTTATATGAAAAGGTTTGGAAGGTGCAGTCAGAAATAGATGGAAGTCTATTTAATGCTATCTTTACCGAGTAGAGAGAGGAGTTGGAGGTTCTATTCTCAAAGGAGGAGGTTTGGGAAATAGTCTTGGGTTTGGAAGGAGAGAAGACCCCTGTACATGATGGTATAACTATGCTATTTTTTAAAAGATGTTGGGAATTCCTAAAGTTAGCCATGATGAAAGCCCAAAACAATGTTCTCGATAAAGCCTCATTGGGACGAAGTCTTAATGCCACCTTTATAACATTGATTCCGAAGGTTCAAAACCCTACACACATCTCGACTATAGACCCATAAGCCTGGTGTGGCTACCCAACCTAGAGGGTGGATGGTTTAAAATATAGAGAGGATGGAGTTACCACCTAATTTTTTGGGAAATGGGAATTTAGAAAACTTTGAGATTTTTCAAAGAACAATAATTTTTTGGTGACTCATTGCCCAATGGGGATGAGATTCTTACGATACGGGGGCCAAGGTACGGTGTGGGAAAGAGTTAAGCACCCCACACAAGACTAGTTAAACTGGCCTCCACTACACCAATGTTCCAAGGGAAATTTAATAATTTTTGGGCTTCAAAAAAAAAGCTCATGCAAAATTAAAGATTTATCCATATGCAACATGATAATATTAGAAAAAAGAAAATAATAAGAAATAATTATTCAACTAAATAAATCATCAAAACAAGTGCTAAATTGCTTCAAGAAAAACGACTAAGATAACAAAAAACTGATTAAGAGCACAAAATAATGATTTGATAACAATTGAAGTAGCAACACTAATGCTGGAATCATGAGAAACAAGACAACAAAAAAAGTAAATATGCAAATAATCCAAAGCATGCGCCTAAGTATGTAAACTACACGCATGAATGTTGTTTATGGATGGAAAATTT